AGGGGTACCAATTAGGAGGTTCTTGGAGGATGATAGGTACAGTTCATCAGAGCCTAAATTCAGGCTCTAGCAGTTGGAAGGAAATGAATGGCCGAAAAATGGGAAAGATAGATTCTCTAGAGCTTCATATATTCACTGCATAAACATTTAATGAATGCCTGTTATATTCTGGGCACTATGCTTGTCTCTGGGGATAGAAATAAATAAGGAGTATATTCTGTTGGGAGGGAGAAAAACAAAGTATGATTATAGTATAGTATGATAAGGGAAGGAAATCATCATTTGTTAAGCACTGACTATACATCAAGTGTTGATCTAAGCACAGTACATATATTATCTCATTTAATACTCACAAGCTCACTGGTATTGTCCTCACTTTATAGATAAAAGCAGGTCTCTTCCTAACTTTTGTAGGGCCCAAGACAGGAGTACAAATGGAGGCCAACCTACCGTAAGTCTAGATATTTAGAAGTTATAAATCAGACTAACAAACTGAAAAAGTCTAGTCTGGTTTTCTTGTCTTGCTAAATATACTTTTATAACAATATGGAAGGCCAGGTTCAAATTCAGAATTCTCAGACTGCTCTGTAGTTCTTAGCTTGTGTCTCCACCCCCTTCTCATCTATGGCTCTACCATACATCTGGACAGACTTCATGCACATGCATCTGGAACTCCCAGCCTGCAGGTCAAAGCTCTGTTCACACCTTCCACAAATAGCCAACTTTTGGCCCCCTTTTCATCCCTAGGGTATGCACCCATCAGGGTATGGATCCACTGATGAAGCCATGCAGACCCTAGAAGCTAGGGGCCTTTGGGCTGGGGATTTCAGAATCTTGGGTACCTGGTTTATGGTGTGAAGGAAGGACATGGACTCTGAGTTTGGGGTACAATTAGAGCAGGGCTCTGATTCCCAGCCCTCCTGTCTTAATAGCAGTACTGGATGAGAAAACAAGTTAAGTAACTGACCTAAGTATACACAGGTAGAAAGTGGTGTAGCTATTACTATGTAGGATTGTCTAGGGGCACAGAGGAGAAGCGGAGCCTCAACCAGTTAGGGCAAGTCAGCTGATACAAAGAGTACTGATTAATGAATTGATAGCAGGTAGGGAATAGGAGGCTGTCAGGGAGAACTTTCTAGGAGGAGTATTGTTTAAAATCTTGAAGGGGTGGGTCTGGGAAAGGTCTGGAGGTGAGGTGAGCATTGCCTACAGCCCATATCCTAAGCTCCAGAGGCTGCAGGCGGGGAGATAGGCAATCAGTTCAGCAGGATTGGAGTTGTGCTTGTAGGGGAAGGAAGACAAATGAATCTGCTGACATTAGATTGTGACCAAATTCTGAAGTTAGGTACCCTTTATCCTAAAGGGATAGGACAGGAATACAGTCGCATTTTAGGCATTAGGGCTGAGGGAAAGCTAGAAAGTGAAGGTGACTCAAAGCTTTCTCCCCTGATGACTAGGGCCGTGAGGAGTCGTTGACAGGAATAGAAAGTCCCGAAGGAGACACAGGATACTGGGCTCTTACAGTTTGAATTACCAGGTCAATAATGAGAATATTGGTGGAAGGAGAGAAAAAACAAGTATGACAGAATCTTGTATAGTAGCTATATTTAAGGAGTGGGCAGAAGAGAAAACTAGCCAAAAACAAACAAACAAAAACAAAAAACTGAGCAGTAGGTTTCTGACAGGCAGGGAATCTGCCTTGTATAGCGTCATCAGTGCCTGGTAGGCTCAAGTTTGAGAATGAACTTCACTTGCTGTGGGACCAGGACACATTCAGAGAGGAAACCCTCGATTTAGCAATCAGAAGTTGGGGCCATGAAGGTAGAAACCAGCTGAGAGGGGTTTGAGGAATATATAATGAGGAAGTAAAGAAAGTTAATTTAGATAGTCGTCAAAAAATTAAGCTTGGCTTCGAGGGAAAGAGGGAGGTCAGATTTTTGTTTGATGGGAAAGTAAGGTCCAGGGAAGAAAGAAGACTCCTCCTCTTCCTCCTTAATGATGATAATGATGATGATGAAGGATATTTACAATCTACTTGGCTGAAAGGCTGCAGTGAAATAGGAAAGACTGAAGATAGGAGTACTTTGATAGGACCTACCTACTCATTGCCTCTACTTCTCCATTGGGTGGTGTGAAATGCCAGCACCATCTGCCTTAAGACCAGCTAAGTTCAGTAAACTTAGCCCTGTTTATGGCAATCACCACATGAATTCCAGGTCACCCTTATCCAGTGATTCTTGTCTCCAAAGCTTCAACAACCCTTTTATCAGTAAGGCCTCCCCACCTCCGCTGGCCTTGCCCTCTCTGTTCCCCTTCTCTCCACAGCACTTACGACTATCTGACATACATTCACTTACCTCTCCATGGCTTTTCCACCCCTAGTAAAAAGTAAGGTCCAGTTCTTAGAATAGTGTCTGGCACATAGTAGAGTCCCAATACATATTTGTAAAGGCCAGATGCATACAATGAATGATGCACGTAAAGGGGGAAGGAGGGAAGAATTGAAGGCACTAAGATTCCAAAGCAGAGATTGGCCAACTTTTTTAGTAAAGGGCTAGATGGTATATATTTTTAATTTTGCTGGACAAAATTTCTTCTGGAAAGAAATTTGTCACATATTCTTTTTTATTGTTTTTTAAGGTAATACTTTAAAAATATAAAGGCTATTCTTAGCTTGCAGGCTACACAAAAACAAGCCACAGACCTGTCCATAGCCTGTCAGCCATTGTGAAAGAAAGTCTGGAAATAAGATTAAGAGCATGGGTGAAGATGTTGGCTCTGAAAAAGAAAAAGGAAATGCCTTCCTCTGAAGACCTCCCTAAAGTGAAGGAAAAAACATTTGAGATAAAGAACAGACAAGTGAGAGACTTCACATCAGTGGCATCAGCCACCTAGTGAGGAGGGAAGTGAGTTCTGCAGCTGAGTGCTGAACGCTTGAAGAGTAAGAAAGTTTTGAAAGAACAGGGTGCCTCATCAAATAGAGATGAACAAGAAAATTGATGAGCAATGCAGGATTCAGCCAAAGTTGGATGACATAAGTCTACAGTATGTTCTAGAAGATTAGGGAAAAATGAGAAGATGTAGATACTGAATATTTTAGCTTGTGAAGCTTGAGTGATACTGTGCAAAATTCTAAAGACGGTTGGCCTGGCCATACTCCTTCAGAATAATATTGGGTTCTCCTTATACTCTATTTTGATAAAATTACTTCCAGAGGCAGCAAAGAAATATAAGCTAATTTGTGAATGATAATATCAATAATTAACTTTTATTAAGGGCCAGCAGTATCTCTGATTTACAGATGAGGAAACTGAAGCTTAGAGAAGTTAAGAAACTTACCCAAAAGCACACAAAGTTGTTAGTGGCAGAGCTAGGTGACCCCAACCAAGACTGTGTGATAACTGGCTTGTGATCTTAACTTACCTCAACAGGGTAATAGTTACTGAATTACTGTCAATATGGAATGAGGTCTGTAGTGACAACTCCTGTCCTCATTCTGTCTTGTTCAGAATTTTTAAAGTGTTTTAATTGAGGACATAGATAGTATACTTTTTAAGTTTTTTGATAATGTAAAACCAGAAAGAATACAGAATACATTAGATAACAGAATAAGAATCAAGGATTATATCAAACTGGCATGGTTCACCAAAAAAAGAAATGCAGTCAAAATAAGAATATAACCCTTTACTTAGGTCAGAAACAACTGCACAAGTGTGCTGTGTCTGAGCTGTGAGATGTTTAAGAAGGAAAAATGCTTAGAGGTTTTAGTCACCTCACTTTAAGGACTGTGATGAACTGCAGCTTGTTCAGAGGAAAATGTAATAGGGAAGCTATTCAGGACCACTTCATCTAGGAAACATTAATGAAACTCATAAAGTCTTAGAGCAAAAAAAGCCTGGTGGTGATGGGGGTGATGAAAGTGTGAGAGGAGAGAATAGTGTCTTCAAATATTTCTACGAGTTTTCTTAGAAGGTTAGTTAGAGTTATTCTATGTAGACCTTTGTGGTCAGAACTAGCAATAGTAAGTGGGGATTACAGGGAGCTAGAGTTTGACTCAGTATGAGAAATATCTCCCCCCAAATTAAACCTGTTCAAAATTGTAATTGGTTGTATTAGGAATTAATGTGTCCCCTACTGCTGAATGTGCTTTAAACTGAGATAGAACAATCATTTGTTGTAACTTACTCTAGATGACCTTTGAAATCTCCACCAAAACTAAGAGTTTTTGCCTCTGAACATGTCAGATAAATAAAGTATTTCTGTCCTATTTTTCAAAAAAGTAAATTTCCCAGCTTGCTTCTCTACTGTGTTTGCAACGTGATTTAGTAATGTTAGATGTATGGTGTATATGTTACAGAATATCTGTTGTGAACCTAAGATGCACTAATTCTAATTTTTCACTTAGAATGTGACAAAAAGTTTACCACACCAAGTTAGGCTGTTTCTTTGAAATGGATGTGTACTTTACATGTGTATAATTCTTGCCAAAGGTTACACTGACTTTGTACCATATGCCTGCCAATATTTTTTCTGAACCACATCCAATGATACAATTTTTTGGTAAGTATACATTGGAATACATCTAAAAATGGCAAGTGCCTTGAAATGCCTTTTAGTGGATCGGATTCTAATATACAGGATGAAGTTGTTTTGGGAAGGACGTATCTATTGACTTTTATCTGGAGACCAGCTTTTAAACTTAGTTTTGTGACCTGCCTTGTTCTATTTTTGTCCTGTCTTTGTAACATATTCAAAGTTTGCATTTTTCAATATTATTAATAGAAAGTTAACTGGATAAAAATTGAAAACCTCTTGTTTGTTTTTCTAAAGGTCTTAAAAAGCATCTTTTTCTTGGTTACCATCACTAAGTCTTTCTGACATTCATGAACAAAGTTGAAGCAAAAATAGGAAGCCTTTTTGTTTTCTGTTTTAGTCCTCCAAAGTTTCCTAATAATTCAGTGGTTATACCATGTGAAAAGAATACTTCTTTGTTTTTTTAGGTGTAATCCCTTTTCATGGATTTTCAATGTATGGTAAGTTAGTTTTAAAATATCCACCGTATTTATTACACTTTAGAAAATTAAGCATGAAGATCACACTTCATATCACATTACCAACACAGTAAGTTACTGTGAACATTTTTAACCATTGAGTTTAATACTTCTTTATATGTCCAATTAAAACAATTTTAAATAAAGGGTCATCATAATTGCCCCAATGATGATTGCTGGACAGATTAGAATTAGGACATGCTGTGAAAGTGGTTCTGTGGTTTACCATTTTCTAATCCGTAGGAAACTAGAGATACACATTAATATTAAGTTCTAATAGGTGTAAATGAGGTTGCTTAAATTCCTGAACTAATTCTCCTAAGTCTTTTAAGAAACTATAGGTCAGAGAGAATGCAAAGGGAGGGGCAACACCGAGTTTGAGTTCATGATTTCTTCAGACTACTGGAATGCACAGCAACAATTAAATTGAAGGAATCCATCATCCCAAGGTACCCGTAAAAAGCGCACGCTTAGGCTTGAGAGCCCTGAGTGCCTTTCTGGCTTCACATGTCATTGAGCAATATGAGCAGCTTAACACGGATTAGCAAGAAGAGAAATACTCTACACCTAATGTCACTTAATTTTTACATTTGTAGACATATAAACTTGTTGAAGAATGTTGCTACCCCACAACCTTTAGGCTAAACAGAAATACTTTGTTTTACTGTTGTAAAAATAATTAGCAACAAATGAATAAATTTCTTTGTAAAAAGACCCTCAGTGTCCAACATCAGGCACTCATGGTGAATGACACAATAAAACACTTTCAAAGCTAGCATCCAATGAAAAGAATTTGAAGTACCTTGGAATTTACACATTGTGTTGCCCTTGACGGTGTTGTCACACCCTTGAGGTGTAGTTCACTTTGCTTTGTTCTCCTGAGCAACCAAACTCATAATCTAATGCATAATGTTATAGTGATCCTCCAGCATATTCCTGTTTTATAAATATCTGAGAAATTTAAAATAGAAAACCTAAGAAGGTTAAGAACATTGACTTTTACCTCTTATAATAAAAAAAGTTAGCTCTTTATCCTTCTATTTTAGTAATTTTAACTGCAAGAATTTTTCAAATAGATTTTTAAAAGTGTCCTGGGGTGATTTAGAGGACATTAATGATATTATGAAAGCTTAAATCTTCTAATAATTCTCAGGGAACAAATACATCCTTGAGTCTGCCCTGCCTAGTAACATTTCCGATCACTTAAATAGGCTAAGGTTTATAGCCCTTAAGGGAAAATATTCACTAAGGAAATAGATGATGCAAAATGTTTGATAAAGGGTTTATTTATACTATTTTAGAAAAAAATGTTGAACAGCCACAAATACTTTAGCAGCAACCACTTATTTAGAACCAGTCTACTAAAATAATCACAAATTATCCCTGAGGAATTCCAGTAAGTACTGTGCCACTTAGCTTTAGTTACTGTATTTCTTTAAAATTATAATACTTAACACTTTTAAAAATTGATTCAAAGCTTTTCTCTAAATTGGCCTTCCCCTCTTCCCCTTCTAAGATTGACATTTTGTTGTAGGTGTAGAATATTGATTTCATAAATAAATTCTTACAGTATAGTATTTAATTGGTTAAAAATTTAATGAGATAATTCATTTTTATAGAAGAACCAAGTAGTAGGGAAAAGTGCTTAAAATGGAAAATAAAGTCATGTAAGAGGTCTTTTTACATATTATATATAATGAACTAAAGCTTTTCCATTTCATAGCTAAGGCAATTCAACATAAACAATAGTGGTAATCGTGAGTAATAACTGGCTAGTTTTTTTTCTTTATATATGTTTGTAGAAAAATGCTTATTTTAAAATTCTTTTCATTTCTTTACTGGAAATGATTGTTAGTGATTACTGAACTCCATAAAATCTTTAGACTCAGGTTATAGGTTTTTGCATATCAATAACTTAAAAAGTAGAGAAGAAAATATGCATTGTTAAAAACAGTAAATAAATTCCAAACCTTCACTTTGAGTTTATAGTAATACTATGTATTGGTGCCACATTACTTTTTCTTAGGTTGTTGCAATTAGAATGTGAGTTTTCTTTAAAATATATAAAAAACCTTAATGTGGGCTGCTTTAATAAGTAGCAGTTTATTTTGAGAGTAAACTAAGTTCTTTAATTTTGAAGAGGAAGGACATGCCTGTCAGTTTTTAAATGTATATATGTTCATATATAATGTAAATTTTTTCTATATATATAGTTATTTTTGTATGTATTTTGATATTTACCCCCCTAAAATTGATTTCTCTCTCCTTTGCCCTTCAGAAAAATTGAAGTTTCTCACTTCAATGCTAGTTTTTAATCATTTATTCATGAACAATACTGTGCACTGCCATTTATCCCAGATCATCGAATTCTTGTATTTGTAAGAGTGTAACATTTTCTTAATCATTTTTCTTTTCACTTTATCAAAAAGAAATGAGCTGAGTTGGCTCACTGGTTTCTCTGATTACTGAACGCCTACTGCCCTCAGAGCATAACTGACAGATCATAGAGCCTAAGGACTCCTTACCATTTATATCATAGTTGAAATTACCCAATAAGGAAGTCATTTTTAAAAATTAATATTTAGGTAATGCAGCAATAATAGTATCTGCATTATAAGGTATTTATACTGCCTACAATTCTTGAGGCTTGAAAAGATGAAAACCATGACCGTCTGGGTCAGTGCAGAACAATCACACTGCCAGGTCAGCGCCTGAGATTAGGACTTCCTGACATGCAGACCTGGGCATGTGACTGAGTTGACCCAACCTTTGCTTAATTGCCGAGAACTGAGTACAAAGGAAATTTTAATTCAACGTTCATTTGAGAAATAATCCTCTGCTTAAGAGATGTTTAAGTCTGTGAAAATTCTCTTGATACATATTGAAATATGCTAATATAGACCAGTAGTCTAAACTATTATTTGAAGTTCTTATTTTAAATTGAATTCGTTGAAGACCATGATTTTAAAAGCTAGTTATAAATCATCTTTTATTTTACTTGCCTAGCTTCCAAAATTAAAAATTTTGAACAGTGGCCTTGATCCTTCGTGGGACAAAAAAAAAAATGAATTGCCTGATTGTCACTTCACTACTTCAACTTAAAAGAGACTTGACTTTATGTAGTTCTTAAAAGTTCCTTTAAATGTTTAATATCCTTCTACATGTAATGCCATTGTGTCATTCTGTGCCAAGTTGGGAATTATAATAGATTGTAATTTACTCCTTCCTTTATAATCTTTAATGATTGAGCTTTTCACATGTGCATATATTCCCTTTTCAACATGAAAACAATGTATGTATGATTTTAAACTTATCTTTGAATGAATATTATTACTATAAAATACTGATTTATTCTTTCATGTTTCATGAACTTTTAAAAATTTTATTACTTCTGTGGTATTATCAATTAATTTTTTTATTCTTTCAGTTGCACCACTTTGTTTTCTATACCATGAACCTTCCAAATTGTATCAGATATTCCGTGAGATATATGTGCGTTTTTTCTTCAGACTCCATTCCATCTCTTCTCATCCTTCTGTAAGTTCACAAAAAATTGGATCAAATTTTAATTTGTAGTATCAAGCAACATGTTTCTATAGAATAAGTCAAAGAGAAGAAGAAATTGGTATTTAAGTGTTTTTAGTAATATTCGAGAAGAAAAAGTCCTTACCAATTGCATTTAAGTTATATTTTACACGTTAAAAGAAAAAATCAGAAATGTCTGTATTATTCATTTTGACGAAGATGCCTACCTTCCTTGAATGCGTATTTCCTTCACTTATGAAATGAAATTAATAGTATGTTTCTGTAGTGCTGTAAGAAAGTCTACAAAGCCCTTGGTATTACTCGGCTCATGGCAGGTGTTCAGGAAATAAACGGCTGCTGTTTTTATTGTTATGATTATCATCATCATCGTCTCTTCTTTGTTAATGAACATCAAACATTTATTTGTCACTTAGTTTTCAGTTTCTTATTTGGTTAATTATCAGTTATCACACTAAATACTTTCTTTATGTTTATTCAATGATAGCCTCTTTGGCCTCAATATGAAAGTCAAGGAGAAGTATATTGGAAGTTGAACATTTTTATCTGTTTTATTTTGGCTGGCTCTTTATCATATCTTACTCCCCACCAACCAACCTACCCACCCATGAGCTTGAGTAAAAGCAGTGTGTTTTTTTTATTATTATTATTTCAGTTATGTTTTTTCTGCCTTTGGGCCTGATTTGGTCTTGCGGGTAACTTGACTGACTCTCCAGAAGGAACATTATATTGGAATGTATCAAAGCTACCAAACTTCCCCAAAGAAGAGGCCGTCATTGCTACTAAACTAAATAGCTGTTCTTTATCCCCCAGTTCAATCCTATGTATTCCTATTCCACCTTCCTCTGTCTCCAGTTTTGCTTTCACACCTTGCTAGTGAAAGCTGGCAAATAAGAGAAATCCAGGATATCAGAGATGAACAAATAAAGCACCACCAATTATTTTGGGTTTCTGTCCTCTGAGACAACTTGATTTAATGCTTACCCTCCATTAACATTTAATCTAGAAAAATCAGAAATTAATTTGTTATTGATGATTCTCTTTTCTAGTACTTCATTCTTAGTATATGATTTCCTAATATTCTGTACCATTTTATGCTTTAGAGTTTAAAAAAATCCTTTTTTTAACTGGCTGCACAGTACTCACCCATAATGTTTTTTCTGCGCAGCACACTGAGGCTTGACACTGAGCAGCTGTGGGTCTTCCTCCATCCCCACACTGACCCTGAGATGTCCTTTTTCAGCTGATTGGTTGGGCCAGCGCTGCCTCTGCCCTTTCTTTATTCAGTAGAATAAAGACTTGCAGGTGGTCATCTCCTTTTCTGGCTTGGAGCCTGACTGAACTATTTGGAACCATGACAGCCTCTTTTTTTTAGAAACTCAAAAAGAGGATTAAAACTTCCTTACAAAGATCAAACCCTAAGGAATGCTGAGCTGCAAGAAAGATTTTATTCAGAGTTCTCAAATAATAAACTCACTTGAAAAATCATCTGCTTAAGTCAGTTACTTCTTGTACCGTACAAATAATGCCTTTTTTTAAAAGTAGATTTCACTAAAAAAAAAAAATCAAGTAGTCAAACATTCTTGTTTGATAACTTCCTGATGCAAATTTCAAGCAGTCAGGGGTCAGTTTTTCCCGGATTTCAAAGAAAAAGTGAAAAAAGCAGGAAATATTTTCCCTGATGGGTGAGGCAGCTGGAAGAGAAGGGACATATGGAGGGAGTAAGTAAAGGGTGTGGCTATAGCACCAGAGAAATACCTGGAAACTGGAATGCATCCAGAAAAAACTAGTTTTTCTGGGCCTGAGAGATAATATGTGGATTACAAAGTAGCACGTTTTCTCTAAAATGATGTTTTCTTTGGATTCTCTGAATATTACATATCAGGTTATGTGGAGAGCCATTGTTTTGAAAAGGAAGCTCCTTAGCATATCTATAAGAGTGGGTATCCATAAATAGGGATAAAATGTATCTGTAAACACATTGTTAGAGATCATTAGTGCATTTTCTGTTTTTGACTTTTAAAAAATATAAAAAATATTTATATTGATAATCTTTTTCTCACTTCCATTTGAATAATTTTTGGCAAGTTAATGTTTAAACACTAAAATATGTGTTTCTCTTGTGATTTTCTATTAAATCCAGGGTATCGTGTCACTCTGTTTGCTGTTTGAAACACTTCTTCAAACTTATCTCCCCCAGCTCTTTTATCATCTACGAGAAATAGGGGCTCAACCGTGAGTATTTTTCTCTCCTAATTGAAGAATAGATTGTTTGACATTGGAAGGCTCTTTTCTGTCATTGTAAAGCACTTGCAAAGATGCAGTAATTCTCCAGAGAAATTAAACTAACAATTTCCCCAATAAAACAGTAATTGTCAAGTACTAAGTTTTAACTACATTGTGCCAAAAATTCCTGGAAGAATTACCAAAATCCTAATAAATTCTTATTTATTAGGATTTTTGTGTCTGGCCCAAGAATCACCAAAATAAACTAATTTCTATTCATAATGAAGGGTATTGGCCAAAAATGAGACAATAGTTTGTGGAAACAAATACCACCTGAGAAATGTGATGATAATAAAATTAAGTCAGTACTAGCTAAATCTATCAGAGAACAGTTTGCGACAACTGTATGGGTTTAAGTTTACTGTCTTTTGTTAAAGGAAAGTAGATCAGCTACTCAACAATGGTTGTACACTGTTGAGACAGGGACCATGGATGTAGTCAGAGTAGGGTGAGAGCCTCCGGAGGGGGCAGGGCGGGATATTTGCAGTCAGATCAATGTAACTACATGCAACGAAACCCCGCTGCTAAAACTCTATGTTAAACATTGAGCTCTAGAATCGTTCTTCAGTGAGATCAGTTAATGTTCCCCAGGTAAAGAAGAGTAGCACATGTTTTATTATGGTAATCATTTGTAACCATGTATAAGATTCTAAAAGGCCCAGGCCTATGTGCTGTCTTTCCTCCTTTTCCATCTTAAAGATAAAATTGCATTTTAACACCCAGGAAGTTCAAGAGGCAAGATTCTTTAGCAAGTAGACAATACCTCAGCCCACCTTGGGGGCTGGGCAGGCAGCCTTTTGATATGCTCCCAGACCAAGGCACCGGTGTCCCAGAGAGAAATCAAGGCAGGAAATTCCTTACAGTTAAGTTAATTTTTAATATTCAGGGACCATTTAACAAGTCCCCACCCCTAAATTTTTTCATGTTCTCTGAAAAATCCTCAACTGCCTATAAAACCCCCTAGACAACGCACCAACGACGGACTCTCTTGTCCCCTCCTTTCACTTTATCTCTAAATAAAAGCCTGTACCTTGCTCTCCTACCTTGACTGTGAAGCTCATTCTTCGGCTCAGCAAACAAGAACTCCGGCATCACTGTCACTTTTTCCTTCCAAAAGTTTGAGTATTTCTTCATGTCTCTCAGTATGAGTTATCAAACAATATGTAGAGTACCTCTGTGCTTCAATATTATTAGTTATCTCCTCTCTTTTTTAAATAACAATGTCTAAGACAACAGAAGTTTCTAAATGATTTATCAGTGTTTTATTAGGTCTTCCTCTCTGTGCAACCATTTTCCCCTATTGTGAAGGGTATATTTGAAAGGAGCATTAGCTTTTTGAGGCCACAAAAGGAGTTAATGGGAAACACAAGAGTTTACTATTTGTCTTCTTTACACTGGAATCCACAGCAGATGGATGGATGGATGAGTGGGTGGGTTTAAGAGACAGACCAGATTTAAATTCTAACTCTTCTAAACTATATAATCCTGGTAAAGTTATTTAATTTATCTAAGCCTCAATTTTTTTCTTTAATCATGATGATTCAATTTCCCCATCTTTAAAAACCTCATGGGGTTGTTTCAAAAGGGAATGATAACATGTATACATATCCTTTCTATAAAGCACCATTGAATTTCAGACATCTTAGATGTTAGATATTCCACTTATAAAATGACACTTCATATTATCCATTAATAGTACTGAGCTCATACTCTTTCCTTTATAGCCATTAAGAAAATAGGATTCTGTTAATGATTAAGATTTTAAAACAAGAATGTGGCAGAAAAATTTATATTGCACAGAAGTCTTTTTTTCTTAAGCTTGTAATAAATTAACTTTTTTTATTATTGTGCAATGAATATTTGAATATAATTAAGCTTGTCTTTACTAGGATGAAGACATTTAGTTTATTGTGAGAAACTAAAATCCTTATATTTTTCACTAACCAATTTATATACTTAAATTGCAACAGATTTATTTCAGTGACTTGTAAAAATTAAAATTTTTATGCAGGAGGAAGTATAAAAATTCAGTTATCAAGCTAGCAATCAATTTTTAAAAGGCTTTCATGAATTAAAACTGATGCTGTTGGAAGGTTTCTAATTTAGAATTTAATTTCTTCAATAGATATGGGACTATTCAAGCTATTCTTGGGCATACTTTGGTACTATTTGCATTTTATCTAAGTTACACTTAGAGATATAAATTATTCATAGTATTCCCTAATTATTCTTAATTAGCCTTTAAATATCTATGGAATCAGTGACATCACCTCTCTCATTTCTGAGGTTGATATTTGTATCTCTTTTTTTTCTTGATTGTTTTGGCTACAGGTTTATTAATTTTGTTTGTCTTTGAAAGAACCAGCTTTTCATTTTGTCGATTTTTCTCTATTGTTTTCTGTTTCTTTTTTCAATTTCATTGGTTTATGCCCTTTTACTTATTATTTCCTTCCTTATGCTTGCTTTAGGTTTTTGGTGACCTTTTTTCTCTAATTGTATAAGGTGAAAGATCATTGGTTTGATACCTTTCCTAATATAAACAATAATGTTATAATTTGTCCTCAAAGCACTTCTTTACCTCTACCCAGTAAATTTTGATATGTTGTATTTTCATTTTCATTCAACTCAGAATGTTTCTTAATTTTTCTTGTAACTTTTTCTCTAAATGGGTTATATAGAAGTGTGTTGTTTAATTTCCAAATGTTTGGAAAGATATGATATCTTTCTGTTAGTGATTTCTATTTTAATTCTATTTTAATTAGACAACATGTACCAAAAGTTTCAATTCTTTTAAATCTATTGAGCTTTGTTATATGACCCAGAGTATGACCTATCTTGGTGCATGTCCCATGTGCATTCTTGAAAAGAATCCCTGTTCTGCTAGTGTTGCTGGGCAGAACATTCTATAAATGTCAGTGAAGTTAAATTTGTTGATAATGTCCAAGCCTTCTACACACTTGTTAATTTTTTGTCTTCTCTTTCTATTATTGAGAAAGAAATGTTACAGGTGCCAATTATAATTGTGAATTTGTCTATTTCTTCCTTCATTGCTGTATATATATTTTTATTTCATGTCTTTGAAGGTCTGTTTTTAGAATTGATTCCTTTGTTATTATGTAATGACTTCATCCCTGGTAAAATATTTATTGTATCTGATAATAGCCATTCCAGCTTTCTTTTGATTACAGTTTGCATGGTGTATTCTCTTTCTATTCTTTTACATATGACCTATTGACTATCAATGTCTGTATTTTTCAGGTGGCTTTCTTTTCAAAAGTATAGTTGGGTCTTCCAGTGTGGCAATGTATTTTTTAATTGGAGTGTTTGTTTCATTTACATTTAATGTAACTGATATCACTGGATTAAATACCAATTGATGTTATCTACTGTCTTGCTAGACAATTTCTGTTCGTTCTATATGCTCTTTATTCCTCTTTTCCTGCCTACTTTTGAATTGAGTATTTTTTATTCCATTTATCTCTACTATTGGATTATAATTTATACCTTTTTAAAAACTCTTTTTGATAGGTGCCTCTCTTAGTTCTTTCTGCTACAACAAATTACCATAAATTGTATGGCTAATGAACAACTGAAATTTATTTCTCACAGTTCTGGATGCTGTAAGTCCAAAATCAGGGTGATAGCATGGTCGAGTTCCAGTGACAACTCTCTTCTAAGTTGCATTCTACCAACTTCTCATTGTATCTTCCCAATGTGGCAAGCAGAGAGGAGAAACAAGTTCTATTAGGACTCTTATGAGGGCATTAATCCCAATCATGAGGGTTCTGCCTTCATAATTTCATCTAATCCTAATTACCTCCTAAAGGGCTCACCTCCTTCCTATTACCATCACATTGAACGTGGAAGTTCAACATATGAACTTGGGAGTTGTGGTAGCACATTCAGTCCATAGTAATGCCCTATGGTTTACAGAATACATCTTTAATTAATCACATTCTGCCTTCAAATAAACTTCAGGTCTGGATGACTTCACTGACAAATTCTATCAAACATTTCAGGAAGAAATAATATCAGTCCTTGTTTTTCTGTGCCTGCTATGAAGCTCTTTGTGTTTAGTTCTCAGCAATTTGACTCTGATGTATCTAGGCATGTTTTTATTTGGGTTTATCCTGTTTGGGATTTGCTGAGCTTCTTGAATCATAGGCTTATGTCTTTTGCCAACTTTAGCAAGTTTTCAACCATTATTTCTTTAAATATTTTTCTCTTTTCTCCTGGGATTCCAATGACACAAATATTAAAAACTTTTGGTCTTTCCTACAAGTCCCTGAAGCTCTATTCAGTTTATCTAAAATCCTTTTTACTGTATTGTTTAGACTGGACACTTTCTATGGACCTATATTCAAAAACACTGGCTTTTTCCTTGGTCATTCCCATCTTGCCCATGGATCATCCAGTGATGGCTGGTGGTGGTGGTGTTATATTTTTCAGTTCTAAATTTCAGTTCTATTTGGTTCCTAATAGAATTTATAGATTGTGCATTAGTAAGGGTATATTCTATTATATATAAAGTATGCCTCAGTAAACTTTATTTCTAAGTAACTGATTCTGTGCTATATATTGGAGGAGGGAGCACAATGTCTAACAATATTAGAACTATTGTTCTAATATGACACTATGAGAGATCCAGTAAAATGAAACTAGTTGACTTTAATAGTTTAGACTTTAAAGTCAAATGAAATTTTTTTTTAAATTTAAAACAGGCCGGGGCCAAAGTTTCTTTGGCTTCTATAAGCAGACATTCCAAAACCAATCAAAAACTTTAATTTGTCGATACTACCACCTACATGCACTTTGTTTTATTAGTTATATAACTTAACAATAGTTACGTAGTACTGAGAAATTTATGGAACTTGGGTGTCTTTTCCAGTCTTGAGTGCATATGACACCAACAAGACAATCTCCAGATCCCTTTCTTTAAGAAAATAGCATAGATATTTATCTATATAATATTATAGCAGTTCCAGCAAAGAGTTTGGCTAGCACTTCTCAGGGGCAGTCAAGTGATGTTTAGATGCTAATAGATAGTATACAGAAATGTGAGGGACTGACGTATTACTTAAGATACCAAAGCCAATGAGATTTAACCTGATTTCAGAGATAAATTATTATTTCAACATACCCTATTTATAAATAGTGGGATCTCACACCTCTTAGCTTTTTGTTTGTTGGCAAAATGGAATTCAGGTGAATGATCTTTCAGAGTTCTGATAACCTCCTCTTTAAAACAAAAGGTTTGAAATCTAGAAATCTTTTTTTAGGTCCCTTGCAGCATGAAAATTATTCTTCATTGTCTTCAAAAACTCCTACCTATTATTTTATTTTATTCATCCTATGTAGCCATTTGACTAAAATATACAAATATAATGTATTGAATTGGAAAAATATACAGCTGTCAAGCACTCTTTCACGTGTTTTTAATAACAATTCAGATGATCATGTCTTGCCTAGAACTGTTGACTATAAGAAACTTCATTGATAGCTAATTAGTACACATCCTGAAAAACAAAACATGGAAGTGATTTTTTTCTAAAGACCGAACTATAACATAAAGGAAGATCCAGCAGATATAATTCTTCCTCTAAATACTTTGAGCCCACTAATTTGAGGACTCATGGCTTCTCACCATTGTGCTTTTGCAGGTTTTAAGAGAGTACTTGAGTTTTAAATACTCACGTGTTCTAGGACTCACAAAAGAGTTTCTGTAACAATAGCTTTGGTTGGGCTCTTCTGGTACTACCTTTTTTGTAAGAAAAAAATCCACTGGTAAAATTTATTTTCTCATTTCTTTTCATACAGACTACGCATATCATTTAAGTGGATGGTTCGAGCTTTTTCTGGATACTTAGCCACAGATCAACTCTTGCTTTTGTGGGATAGAATCCTAGGATACAATTCTCTGGAAATTCTTGCCGGTAAGAGTAAGTTCTTGTTTGTAAAACACATGCTGTTTCTACAGTAAAGAACCTTTCCTTTCTGACATTCGCCATTTGTGATCGGAATTGGAGTCTTCAGTTCTGTCATTTCTCATTTGTGAACATTTAGTAGATTTATCTGCCCTAGAAGACAAGTACTAAGGTTCAGCAGTCTAGATACTTCTGTGTAACTGCCTAACATCATTGTGTTCCTAATCTGTCTTCTTTGCTCCCAAGAAAATCCATTTCTCTTCCCCTACTTTTAGTCCAGCCAGAGTTTACTCCCTGTCAGCAGCTGTGATGTCTGTGCAGCAGAATACAGGTATCTTTCTGTTCTATTCCAGGACTTCTCTGACCATCTTAGCATCTGTTCTGTGCTCCAGTTCAACTATTACCTAAAACCCAAACCAAGACTGAGCATCCCTGAATAGCTCTTCTGGACTGCAGTTTGTACTGAATTCAAAATCTTTTCCTTTTTGCTAAGTCTCTGATGCCTGCCCTGCTGGCTGAGTTTCCCCTTTTAGGTATTCTCTTAAGCCAAAAAGTATTTCATCTTTTTCTCAGAAAGCCACAGATTCATCTCTTATTTAATAATTAAGCAGTTCTTACAACAGATATACACATAAAGCAACTGTGTGATAATAGATAGGGCACAGATTTCTTATGAATTATATTATTTTGCTTTTCTTATGCAAAATAGACAGTTATTTTTATTATTGGGATTATCAGAAAATTCAAATAAATATCACAAGATTTTCACAACAATGGATAGAGAGTAGAAAAGTTGACAGAGTGCTGGGTCCAACCTTCTCCAGTTGTGTGTGATATTGAGCAAATTATTTAACTTGTGTGAGCCTTAGTTTCTTTACCACTTGTTGATAGTGTTGTAAAGACAGCTCTCTGGTCAATTGTGAAAATAATGCTAATTTGAAGAAGAACTTTTTCTTGCAGAAGATTCTCTAGGTACTGTATTAACATATTCTTGAATGCTGACAGTTCTAGAGTTGATTGGGTGGCATTTTGAAAAAAAAATTAGAGTAATATAAATGTTACCCCTGGTATAATGAGAGATATCTTTTACTGTTTAACAGCACTTAGAATCTTTCTATCTCAATTGTTTTTAGAGCCCATACAAATATGAGTTAGGAAATAATGATCTGCCCTCATCTCTTTTGACTGAACTGCAGTTACACACATAACTTAGAGAAAGATGGAACTGTAGATATCATCAGGTATAACTTTTTAAAAATATTTCTGACAGACAGTACTCATTCTCTGTTTGAAACTTCTGGGCCGGGTAACTCCTGTCTTACCATGTTTTTTCTACCATCAGTTCCTCTCCTTCCCCCAAAGTCTTTTATTTTCCAGGCTAAGAAGCCTTGTTTTCTGCTACCATTTCTCAGGCAGCAGGATTTTAGACTTTATACTTCTGAATAACTCTCCTCTGAGTATGTCATACATTTTGAAGAGTATTGTATATGGGTTTTTGTATCATTTAAAAAAGATATTAGAGCATGTTAAAGAAAGGGGTTCAGTATAAGAAAGCATTTTCTAATTACTAGGACTTTACAAAAGTAGAATGGGTTTTTTAACTGTCACCTGAAGGTTAAGGGGCTTTCTACTATGAAAGAGATATTGAATTGAAAGAACTTCAAGGCCTCTAAATGTAAGTTCTTTCATTCTGTGACTTATTACTCCTCAGCAAACTAAAGTAAAAAAATAAATGAATGTTGAATACTGTATTTTATCTAAGCTAGGCACTCTGCCATGAGCTCAATATATGAATTAAAAAATTACTGATAGAAATGCAGTCCACACTGTTGCATCCATTCACTTTCCCTGAATGTTTTAAAAATTAATTGCAAATTAATTAGGGCCTTTTGAAGAACAGTTTAAAGCAAAGGTGTCAATGTTCATGATAGAGTTTCTTATAATTAAAGTAATGAGAATGATGAAAAATAAATATTATAGTTTCTATATTTCATATATAGTATGATTTCAGTTGAAAATATCCCAAAGTAGAGACCTTTTCTCCTTGGCAAACAAACCTGTTCTGCGAAAGGGCTGGGCAAACCAAACATGAAGCAGACAGAAAGGAACTTCCGTGATGTGACACCAAGATAAATAAAGGTTGTGAGCACATAAGCATTTTGGGTGTTGAGGTCAATTAGTGAACTGATCTTTATTTCCCCTTATCTACCTTTGGAAAAACAGTTTCCCGCTATGTAAAATTCCTTCCTGCTACAGCAGAAAATTTGATCATTCTGTCAAGTTTTTGCCAACACTGTTAAATTATGTACAAAAAAGAAAGTCGTAATCACACTCATTGGCTTGTAAAATGTCTCCACTGTCAAATATCATTCCAGATATTAGGAAACTATAAATAAGTTGCTGGTCCACAGAAATTATTTTCTTTGATGCTCTTGTAAACACAGAAGCTTGTGACTTTAAAGTACTTAAGTTTTCTCCCTTTCAATTAAAGGGTAAATTCTTTGTCTCAGATCTCATATCTTTTGTTACACATTAAATTATCCCTGCTGATTTGACCTTTTAAATTTTGTTTTATCACCACCAACTTTTTCACCCAAATTTTCCTTAATAGTTCTAATGCTTTTTTGCCAGACTGTCCAAAATCTGTTGTCCCCTAAAAGAATGCCTGTGCTTCCCAGTCTGATGTGGTTGCACTCTGCATTTATCTGGGGAAATTAAGAGGCCTCGTCCTGACTTCTACTCCTCAAGCACAACCTCCCACTTGTCAGAGCCTAGGACCACTGTGGCATCATCCTCCATGCCATCTCTGGAAAACCTTCTGAAGGGCAGCAGAGAAGTCGATTCTTAGGAAAGCACGCAAATTGTCATGTCAGGGATGAGTCATTGCTACTTACCTTCAATCTCAGTAATGTCATCACATGGTAGTTAGATGCTCCAGAGTGAAGGTTGAGTATTCACTGTGCTATTTTCTACCTGTGCAACTCGGAACATGTCATCAAATCCACTGTGCCTTAGCTTCCACATTAGATGGCGCTAACAACAGTACTTACACAGCTCACAGAGTTGATGTGAGGATTAACTGCTATTACCATTATCATTATTATTACTCCCATAGTAAAAAAATGTATTTTATAGATATATATATACATATATATACACATATATATATATACGTATAGGTATATGCATTGCATTAGTTGTGCATTGTACTTGGGAACCAGTTTCCAAACAATTTTGAAGAGTCCTTGGCATTTGCTTCCTTGAAGGCCTGTGTAGAGAGTGCAGTACCACCACTGGTGATGATAAAAGGGGGCAGGGGTAGGGAGGAATCAGAAGTCATTCCCAGGCAGCACTGTCTCCTCACCAGGGTTGCCCACCCCTTACGTGGGTCCTCCCGTTTTTCATGGTGGCACATCCCTCACATGGGGTTTTACAGTAGATTATGTAGTAGAAGGATTACAAGCCAGTATTACTCTCTTCATATGCATATCATTAAGGGAAACAAAACTCAAATGTTGTTTTCTACTCACATTTACTGACTTTCAATATGTCTTAAACTTCTTTTTCCTGTAGCTAACATTAATGTAAGTTTCAGGATCAATCCCATGCTGCCCTGCTCACATACATATTTATTCATGGCACTCTAAGAAATTCAATGCTGAATATAAAATATTATATACAAATGCTATACAAAATATCATTAAAATATTTTTAAGGAAAATGCTTTCTTGCCACATTTCTATCAGGACACCTCCTTGATACATACAAAACATTATCTGCTATTTTTAAAAATTCAGTCTCCATATGACTTCTCAGAAGCCTCTCTAGTGCGTTAGTAAGAAACACGTTCATTTATAAGACAGTGATTAGATCTTCATGCCATTTAAAAACTATTATAATTTAAGTGGTACGTATAAAAGAAGCAATGTATAAAATGGCTTTTTAAAGACCATTAAGTTTCCTTTTTCCCAAAACTATGGGATTCATTTCATCCACTGTCTGACTCTCCAAAGGAGACAATTTCCATTCATCACAAAATCTTAACTCAGAATGCAGGCACGGAGGCATGTACAGCACTAGTTCTGAGCTCTCGTGCTTGTGTGCACAGCAGTGGATTTGTTGGGCTGGTGCACAGGCCAGCAGCTGAAACTGTGTATTCTTTTCCAGTGCTGGCAGCTGCTGTGTTTGCTTTCCGAGCAGTGAACCTGATGGAGGTGACATCACTGGCTGCAGCTGAAGTAAGGATAAGTTTCACTCGGATGGGATGGAAATAGTTCCTGAGAGATTGCCAGGCTTGGGCACTTCAGTCTCAGATGCATAGGACACACATTACTCACAGCCTAATTTTCTAACTTGGGTAAAACCTGTAAGTTCCAAGCTAAGTATTCAAAATTCCTTAATTACTTGAAACCAGTCTTCTTGTAAAGGAGTCATAAGTAAGATTATTATAGGAAACCATTATAACCATTATGGGGATTAAGATATCTAGTAATTTTAATAGAAAGTATTGGGGCTTATGTTGTGTTTCCTTATTATTGTTCACATCTATGTGTTATGCTCAAAGAAGAAAGAAAAACTAGTTGAAAGGGTGAAAGAGCAAGTGTTTGGATCATAAAGATGCAAAGGCCTTTTGGTTATTTTGAGTTGTGAGTTAATTATTTAAAGCTGGCTTGTTTTCAATAGTATAATTTATACCTGAAACATGGCTCAATTAAATAGTGGCTCATCATATTACTCTATTTGTTATCTCTCATAGAAGTGTACATTTTTATCCTTAAAATAGCTGCCTACATCTTTTTTTTAAAGGGAAGAGGATGTTTATCATTCTTGCCACTAAATAAACACTAGTTCCATCTCAGAATGATTTCCTGAAGTCAGTTACTCCTTATACTAGTATAATGGGACTAGGATTCATAATGTATGTTTATTTATAGAAGCAACTTGAAATGTTAGACCTCTTATAAACTCATGCTACCTTGTATATTTGAAGAAGGCTCTAGGCTAAAGTCAAGGTTATTTTCTACTGCACATTTTAGCATTTTGTACATGTTGCTACTAACATTAAGGTAATTCAGAAAAGAGAAGTTGTGGCTTCAGCACAGAGATTTAGGGAAAATCTGAAGAACTGAGAGTGTGTGTCAGTGCCAGAATTACACTGTAATGGCGTTTCTGTTGTACTGATTTCATGGGCTTCACATTGTTGATCAGAATACTAATACTAATAATTCTTTTCGTTTTTTGTTTCAGGCAGTTCTTGCTGACCTTTCTACTTTAAAAGTCATGCCTCTTCTTCAAATTTTTCTGTTTGCCACTGTCACATGATCTTCAAGGTCACCAACAACACATCTAGTTTTTCACTAGAAACTAATCATGGACTATGCAAATTCTGCATAAAACCAAAATGAAACTTTGCATATAAGCCAATAAAGATCATGTTCCCTCCTCAGTTAAACCTAAGTAGTTTTTCACTTTTTGAAACAATAACTCTGCAGACCAAATATTGTACTGCGTGCTGCTGATTTTCAAGAGAGAAGCAATAGACACACTTCTGCTAAATTGAACATACTATATATGTAATCCTGATTTATAAGAGGCATGTAACAATATATGCAATAAGGACTAACGATACTGTAATAAATTTGAAGAGGTAATGTAACCTCTGGGACAATTATCTTATGTCAGTCGGTAAATTTATCTCTAGATAATATATCATTATGTCTTATATATTGCTCTTCACTAAGAGCTGGGGTGGGGTAGGATGTGGGCAGACTTGAAAAACACAATGCTTTTAAATAGGAATTTAAATGTACTTTGATGTTTCCAACAACATTTCTCTCACTAGAGATCTTCTAGGTCCTGCTACACTTTATTTCTCTCTCAAAGGTCTCTGCTGGGGAAGGTCAAATACAATTGTGTCCATTTGACAGTATTTTATTTATCTGTTTCTGAAAAATGAAAATTATGGAGTGATCCCTTCAACTTCTGGACCTTCTGTCTCTTAGTTTAGAAGACTTGACACTGCTGAGGCCCATTGCCAGATTCTGTACTTTGGAAGTATACAGAGAAGACGCCCAAGGAGTCAGTGAAGGGAATGAAGAATCAAAACCATGTCCACTTTTGCTGAAGCTTGGTTTAACGATATTTTCCCATAGGGTAGAGCAGCTGAGACTGGAATAGAGACTGTACATTCATTCTAGAACTGAAGACATTATGCAAGGCATCAGTCTTATTTAGGTTTTTATTATAAGTGAAGGGCCTTATTTGTATTACTTCATAAAGACCTATCACCTGTCTAATACAGAATAAGAGTGTGGAAAAGAAGTCTAAAACCATTGTCTTTAAATTTTAGACTGAAATTCAAGATGCTGATCATTTCAACAGAACTCTAAGTTAATAGAAAGATGCTCTTACTGAATGCCTGGAATTTTATCCAAATGTATTTCTGGAGTCTTTAATTAGAGACCATTATATTAGGAAATGTATGAGGTTTAACACAAGACTGCAAGTGTGGTAGAGTTTGATACAACCAGTTATTACTTCAAAAATGTCTGTTATATGCTTTTATTTGTCAGGTACTTGTTGACTTATGAGGACTAAATAATTTCACTCCATGACTGATTAAAAATAAACTCCATTTTATTGCCTTTGAAGGTGACAGTCATAATCATATGCTCTGCTGTTGTGTGTGCAGATGCATGTTCACCATGAGGATAAGCACACACTTAGGACTGTTCTCTCTCTTCTGTTAGGAAGAAAGCAAGTTTTGAATGGTTAAGGTCAAATGTGTACATGCCCTTTGGCTTCTTTCTTTAGAAGAATATTCATAAGCCTTTTTAAAAGCAGCAATGTAGTGATCTGGTAGGAAAAACACTAGACGAGGGAGTTCTTGTGCTAGCTTAAAGTCCCTAGATAATTTAACCTCTCTTATCTGTATGGGGGTAGGGGGAGCAAGGACAGACAGCAGGAAATTACTGTATTTGCTCTGTTTGCCTTACAGGGTTGAGTAAGACCAAATGAGAAAATATATTTGACAGTGATTTTCTTTTAACTCCAAAGCACCAAGTAAATATAAGATGTTGCTGGTAATATGACATTTCAAGGTTAAGTGGTAGAGGATAATATATGAATAATGCCCAAATTCATTAGCATCTGTGTGACTTTATTTGATAATTTGAGACTGTGTTTATAAAAAAATGAATGGACTATGGCTCAGTAGGTCCTTTAATTTGGAACTGGTGGTTCCAACCAGTAGTTCTGAATCTGAATCCCAAACCAAAGCTGGTAGCCTGCGACAGTTTGCTGCTGTCACAAACCTCTCTTGGCCATGTGCTGCTGCTCTTGGCTGCTTGTTAAAATACTGCATTGAGGACCCTCATGCCCCCTCCATCTCTAACTCCTTCCTCATATTACCTCTCTCAGCTTCCTTCTGCTTTCTCCCACATCATCTCCTGTCAGCCCCAAACAGCCCTCATATATGCTCTGCCAGTGATCACAACGAGTTGAGTGACCAGGGATCATTATATAACTTTTCTATCTATGGTATACACACTGAGGGTGAAATAGCCCAATAGACAAATTATATTTGGCTCTTCTGGATTTCAATTCACCCTCAAATGAAATATGTATGAGCTTATATTATGTAAGAATTTATTGAACAATCATTTTGGTTACAATGTTTTGGTAATAGAACATTCTAGCTAATTGAAATTTTCAGTTTGTCTTAACTGCATAGCACCCCTGTACACTCAGCATGTACTCTTTCTTCCTATTTCATAGAGAAAATAGTGACTATTAGGTTTGAACTTGTTTAGCCTTCCAGTTCAAAACTTAGCTTTATCCCCTGTACTTAACTCCTTCCCTCTTGTCTCAGGAAGTATCTAATCTTTTCCTACAGTTCTCTAAGTACAGAGTTGATTATGTCACTTCCTTGCTTAAAATTTAGACAATACCCCATTGCTTAAAGGATAAAGTCCAGGCTCTGTAGCATCACAGGGAAAATTCTCCACAAGTCGGTCCTTCCATTCCTGTATTCCCACACTGATTCATTATCCTACAGATTACATGCTGATCCTCAACCAGCTATGGCAGTGCACTTTGTCTCTGCCAGAAGGACCTCCACTTTTCAAGGCCCAACTAAGAAAATCTCCTCTATTGTGAAAATAACCTGGAGCTTGTGAATCAGAACTAATTATGTCCTTTTCTTTATTCTCATAAAACTGCTCATCCATTAACATGGTGCTAAGGGTATTGAGTGATAGTTTTTTGTATATGTGTTGACTCTCATATCACTTTATTCTGAAACCAGTTTTCATTGACTAGTCTTAGATATGGAAAGTGAAAGAAGAAATTTGTCCATATGTATTTGTATCCCTTGACTTTTCTAAAAATTTTGGAATCTGTTTTTCTTAAAATATAATTCCTTCTCAATACCTGGTCTCCCTTCTTCCACAAAGGCTCTAATTTTTATTTGGAAATCTATCCTCTCCTCTAGGCTTCAGATGAGGCTGACTCCTACCCCAGGACCCCTGGGTCCTGGCCAAGACAGTCACCATGTTCCATCCCTCTGGCCATAGGAATTGCTTCAAGATCAGTGAATAATGTAAGAACAATAAAGACCAATGAAACTTGATTACAAGGCTTTGCTTTAATCTTTCAGAGAAGCTGGATATGAAAAAGAGAGGATTATAGGCTCTGGAGTTGCCACAGCCTAGGAATGGGAAAAGTAAAAAGCTGCCGTGTTGACCTCATTGATCCCCATCACACTCCACCAGTTTATCCCTGGACTATTTCATTACATGAACCAAAAGATTCTGTTTGCAACAGAAAGGATCCTAACTGAAGGTACAGTTATTTTACCTGTTAGATGACTCACTACAACGTAGGTATCATGATTTGGTGCAGGACCCCTGTGTACACAGTGTTTAAACTAGAGGAATCTTTTAAAACTTCTTTTCAGTCAAGACATTCTGTGACCTTACAAGGTTGATTTCTGTGTTCCAGAAGTACCTGAAGTACCTTGAACACGTGGTATGTCTCTCTCCTTTGGCCCTTTGCCCATACAGCACCCTCTGCTTGGAATGCCTTCTCTTCCTTGTTTACCTAACTCTCACTTGTACCTCAAAACCTAGCTCAGGTGTTGCATCATCAGGGAAGACAGCCTGTCTTGTGAATTCTCCACATACTCTAAATATACATAAGCTGTATCATAGTATGTTAGCTTGTCTTTCTCTTCTGCTAGACTGTGACCCCTGAAGGGCAAAAATAGTTTCTTTTTTGGCCTTATATTTCTAGAACCTGATACAGTGTTTGCCCCAGCAGACTTTAATAAAAGTTTATTGAAGGAGCAAATGAAGTCATCTAATCTAATTTTTTCATTTTACTAGTGAGGCACCTTGCTCAGTTCAGAGAAATAACTTACTTGTTCAGTGTCACACAGCTATTTTATCCACTAAATTGACTTGTAAAGTTGCCTGTGGAAGACCAAAAGGAAAAATATTTTGAGAGAAAAAAACATAAACCCTTCAACTCACTCAGTTTTTTTCATTAAAGCAACTTTATTAAGTTGTAATTCATGTACAAAAATGTATGCATTTTTATTGTATAATTCTGTAAGTCATGAAAAATGTATATACCTACATCACCACCACCACAGTCAAGGTACAGAACATTTCCATCACCTGAAGCACTTCTCTTTACACTCCTTCCCATTGGTCTCCCATATACACTTTCATTCCAGATGACCACTTTCTTCTCTGTCTCTACAGATTAAATTTTATTCCTAGAGTTTCATGTAAATGGAATCATACATATGTACCACTTTGTTTCTGGCTTTTTTTATTCAGCATAATGTTTTGAGATTCATCCATTTGTTATGTGATTAGTTATCCATTCCTTTTTATTGAATCATATTTCATTGTATGATTATTTCATACAATTTGTTTATCCATTTGTTAATGGGTATCCCTGTTCTCATTTTTTGGTGTATTATAGATACAGCTACTATAAACATTTGGATACAATCTTTCATGTGGACATATATCTTCATTCCTTTTGAATAGAATTGTTGAGACATATGTAGACATGAGTTTAACTTTCTAAGAAACCCCCAAATTTTTTTTTGAAGTGATTCTGTAATTTTATATTCCCACTAGCAATGTATAAGAGTTCTAGTTGCTCCAAATCCTCACCATCACTTGGTATTATAGTGTTAATCGTTCTAGTATGTGGTTTTAATTTGCATTTTCCTAATTACTAATAATGTTGAACGTCTTTTCATGCATATTTGCTATTTTTACATCTTCTTTTGTCGTGTCTGTTCAAGTCTTTTGTCCATTTTTAATCAATTATCTTAAGTTATAAGAAGTCTTTATTCTGGATATACTTATGGTTTGTAACATTTCCTTCCATCCTGTGGCTTGTCTCTTTATTTTCTTAACTACATTTTAAAGAGCAGAAGTTTTAATTTTGTTTGAATCAGTTTATCTAAGTTCTTTTATGGTTCATTCATATTTTTTGTGTCCTAAGAAATCTTTGTATATCTTAAGATCAAAGGTTTTTTGCCTGTTTTCTTCTAGAAATGATGCAGTTTTAGGTCTTACATTTGCGCCTATGATTTTTAAAAAAGAAATTTATATATGATACAAATTAAGGGTTGAGGGTCATGTTTTTATATATGGATATGCTGTTGTTTCAGTGCCATTGCTAAAAAAAACTTATCCTGTCCCTTTTACATCAGCACCTCTGCATAGAAATCAATTGCTTTTATTTCTATGGGCTTATTTCTGGACTCTGTTTGGCTCCATAAATTTATTCCAATACCACACTGTCTTGATTTTTGTAGCTTTAGAGTAAGTCTTGAAATCAGGTAGTATAAATCTTCTAATTTCATTCACCTTCATCAAAATTATCTGGGTTAGTCTAAGTTCTTTGGTTTCTAGAAATACTTTTAGCATCAGTTTTTCCCATTGTACAAAAAAAAAGCTGCTGGCATTTTTATTGTGATAGCATTGAATCTGTAGATGAGTTTGGGGGACAATTGATATCTTAACTATATTGAGTTTGTCAATCCATGAACATGGAATATCTCTCCATTTATTTAAGTCTTCTCTAATTTCACAGAGCAATATTTTATAGTTATCCATGTAGAGCTCTTACACATATTTTGTTCTAATTATCCCTAATTATTTCACATTTTTATACTATTGTGTCATTTTTAATTTCAATTTAAAATGGTTTGTCAATATATAGAAATACAATTGATTTTTTTTATATTGACCTTGTATCCTGAGGCCTTGCTAAACTTACTTATTACTTCTACCCACTATTTCCTTTTTGTAGTTTCCCTGGAATATTCTACATATACAATATGTCGTCAATAAATAAAGACAATTTTACATTTTTTCCAAATCTATATGCCTTTTATTTTTCTTTCTTCAAACCTGCAATAGAATGTAGAAGTGTTGCAGCTCACCTAGTTTTAAATCAAACACATTTCTTTCTTGAATAAGTGCAATAAATATTTTAAATATATATCAGTTAAATAGTTTGGCCAATTTAGGTATATAACAGTGGGAGGAAATGAAACAGATACAGAATATGGTGAGGACACATGAAAATAATTTGTTAAGCTTTGTATCACTGATGATTCAAAAACTTTTCTTCAAATCATTCTTTTAACTTATGCAGTTGGCCTTAGTAGTATCAGTGCCTTTGTTATGTTACTTAGGAGATTGTTTTTGTATTACACCAACTATTTATCCTTAAAACTTTTTTTTAGATATGTGATGTGCATATATGTGTTCAACAAACATTAAATGCTTACTCTGAACAAAAAGTACTATGCTGGGCACTCAATGTTTATATTTATTTGTATGTTTGTTTTTTAGTAACAAATATGATGAGACAGCATTCTATTTCCATCAAAAGTACTAACACCTCTTTTTCAAACCAATGGTGCCATACTTCCATTAGAAGAATAATGGTCCCCCAAAGATATTCATGTTCCAATCCCTAAATCCTGTAAATATATTACCTTGTATATCAAAAGGCACTTTGCTTGTGTGACAAAATTAAGGATTTTGAGATGGGGACATTATCCAGGATTATCAGGTGGGCCCAATGTGATGGCAAGGGCCCTAACAGGGGAAAGAGGAAGGCAGACAGGAGTTTCAGAGTCAGAGAGGGATGTGAAGATGCTATGCTGCTGGCTTTAAAAATGGAGGAAGGGGTCATGAGCCAAGGAATGCAGGTAGCCTCTAGCAGCTGGAGATGGCAAGGTAATGGATTCTCCCACTAGAGCTTCCAGAAGGAACTCAGCCTTGTTGATATCTTGATTTTAGGACTTCTGACCTCTGCTGGGGAGGAAAAATTTTCCTGTACCCTTCAAGGTTCTCCCAACTTGTCTAAGAATTAAATTGACATGAGACAGATTAACAGAAGAAAGTCCAATTTAATTTTGTATGTGTGTGGGAACCCCACATGCATGACAGGTTCAAAGATAAGTAAAATGAGGTATATATGCCCTCCTGAGCTAAAAATGGGTAGGGTTTGAAGTTTTAAGGGGAAGAGGTCAATGCACAGGGCAATAAAGAGCAGATGTTTGGTGACTAGATGTTTGTGCTGCCATACAGATGGGTCACTCAAATAAAATTTATCTCTGATAACAACTTTTATCCTGAGAAAGACCCCAATTTAGGTTTTTCTAAGTAGTTAGGGAGAGGCAAAACTTTCCCTTGAGCCCACAAGATCTTGATTGCATTCAGCTCAAAATAGTCCACACACCAAAGTGGCACAATTTAGGGAGACTTGTCCTGAGCCCCTTCACTAGCAGAGCTATAAGGTAATAACTTTGTGTTTTTTTAAGGCGCTGAGTGTGTGGTAATTTGTTACAGCAACAAGAAACTAAGCCATCTCCTCTCAGATAAATTGGGTTTATCATATCAATTGTAACATATGACAGTTCACATTGCTTCAATTATCTTACCTATAAAACAGGTGATTCTACCTATCCAGTTTCTCTCATGTAGTTATTCTAACAATCAAATAAAATAAAATGTGTGAAAGTATTCTGAAGACTACTTTCTACTGCTCTGGGGCTGACAGGGAAAAGACCCTAGAAAGGTGGGCATTTATAACGCAAGTATAACAAAGGAAGAGAGGTGTTGGGAGAGATGTGTTTTCAAGTCCTAATGTTTCTCTCCCTGTGGTGGGAGCTCACTGGTGTATGCTCCTCACTCTTTCTGCCTGGGGAAAGGAGTGAATTATATTACTGAGGTTGGGATCATTAAGTGGGCATGTAAGCCAACCCCTCTTTCATCTTTCTCTTAGAATACAGCAGTCCACAGTAAACATATATTTTCATGTGTACTGCTCCTCTCTGCCCTAGCTGGAGGAAGTCTGGATCTCATGGTATGGGGTGGGGAGAGGGGTGGCAGCAGTTGCTCAGTACATGTGCCACTGAGTGCGTAAGTCTGAAACTCAGCTTTGAAAAGCCTGTCCTTGCTGCAAAACTAAGTCACATTCCCTAGGATTAACTTTATCAGTGAGAAAGATGATACATCATCTTCACCAGCTTTTATTTTCCTAGGTTTTAATTTTCTCTCTCAAGTATTCAGAACTCAGGGAGGAAGAAGGTTGCTGTTTATTGGACCTCCAACCCTCATTCAACCGGGCAAAAAGTTAAAGCCTGCAAGGAAGAAACTATAAAGGTAGGTCACATAAGCTAGAAATATATATATAAGCTAGGAAAGAAGAAAATGAGGGGTAAGAATGGGTTGGTTTAGGTATTGATAAAGAGGAGTAGATGGATTGAAGGTAACAACAAAAAAGTAAGAGCACTTTTGAAGGAAGAATACTTGAGCAAGTAACTTGAAAGGATAAAATCTGTAGCCAGAATGAGATACTTGCATTTGATATTTGGGAGATGGCCCATTTTTGTTGATACCAAGATGTAAGGTGTGATGGATAGCTGAGGTAGAGTAGAAGACAACATCGTTGAAGATGTAAGGATGTCAAGAAACCGAGAGTCTATATGGTGTTGGATGAGTCATCACATACATATTGAAGTCACCAAGGAAGACAGGAGCAAGGATGAAGAAGGAAACTGAGCTGCAAGCTAGTTTTACTGAGAATGAGGAGGAAAGATCCAGAGGTTACTAGTTAGTGACTAACATACAGGAGGAAGAGTAGTGTAACCAGATGGTGTGAACCTCAAAGAAGCAGTAGGGGTTAACAAGAGGGAAAGGGGCATAAACTCAAATTGGCATTGAGGATAACTGAAGCACTTTAGGTGTAAGAGAAAAGAAATCATTCATTTGAGAGGCCTGCAGAGAAACTGTTTCCCCAAGATACAGCCTACTTTTAGTTAAGTGAAGAGGTGAATAAAACCTTTAGTGAAGAGGTTGAAAAACAGTTTATTGATCTCACATGGGCAATTGGGAATTCACAGAGACAGGGGAATAGTTTACTAGGCAGAGGAATGAAGGTGGGAATTAGTAGGTGGGAATTGGGTCAGATTAAGGGAAGGCAATTGAATTGATGACTGAGAAGCTTGAAATTCTGATGGAGAGTGGGACAAACAGGGTTGTGTGGATGGGTTGATCCTCTGAGAGGTGACTGAACAATAATTTCTATTGCTGTGGTCCAGACCATTACTCTGTAGTGAGGCAGCTGATCCCTCAGGCAGCCTGAGATTGGTGTGGTCTAATTCTAGTCAGCGGCTTCTTCAAAAGCAGGAGTGTCGTTGTTTCTGCTCTAGCACTGTGCTAGTTTGGTGACTTAGCTATTTTCTCCCCACCACCTAATGAATTTGGTTCTCCTTTCCCTCCGTTGGCTTTTCTCTATGCATTCATTCAGCTTACAACTTGGGGAGTTATTATCTTAATAACGGAGACAAAAGGATCCCTCCATTATAAATGGAATCACTGCAAAGTTTTCATGAAATAGAAAGGGAGAAATTATCTCTAATATATAACTAAATTTGTACCCATAGCATGCATAGTGATAGACTGACCCATGGAGGGAGAGAGAGAGAATGAATGAATGAATGAATGAATGAGAGGGTTAGAATGTCAATAGTAAAATTCTATAGGGGGAAATAAGCAGGCTTTTCTCTTACCTTCTGTGACCTTTCAAAGGACTGTGTGCCTTACCCCCAAAGAATGGCATACTATTTTTTGTGTCAATGGGCTTCCTTTGCTAGTGTAGGGGAAAAGTGGCTGAATGATTAAATATTTCATCTGTAAGAGCCTAACAAAAATGGAAAGACTTGAATACGTGTATGGGAAGAAAGATCTGGATCTGTGGACAGGCTGATAGAACCCCAACTCTGTTAGAGGTCTGATACTGCCAGGCTGGTGGCCAAGTACAGAGATGTTGTAAGCGTGCACTGTGGGAAAGACAGGAACTCCCCTGGACAGAAGGCCAACCCAGGACTTCAGCCCTAGGATAAGGTCACTGGCCTCTCTAGAAAGTAGGAAAACATCATTCTTGACCTTCCAGACTTCTCTTGCCAATATAATCAACTACTGTGTGAGGACACTTGTAGATAAAATGAGAGTTCCTGTGGCCAGGAATCTCACCTGGCTGGTTGACCAGCTCACTGCACACGTGTGGGCAATACATAACTGTTGACTCTATGAAGAGCTCTGCCCAGTGCTCTGGGCGACAGGGTGGCAGGGCTGCAAGGCTGCAGGAGAGCAGAGGTTGCAGTGGTGGCAGTGCCGAGGACAGAGGCCCAGAGGATGGCTGTGTGGGCAGAGAGAGGGCTGTGCAGACAGAGGGGCCCAGAGGCAGAGACCTACTTGCTGCATGCAGACTTGCTCTGAGTGAACGGGATTTCAGTGACTGACCTGCCACCTGGAAATAAGGTCTAACCCTTTCACCCCAAGAATGTTTTGCTGTCAATTTCTTTGGTCACATTGAATCCATAGTGAACTGCCTGGGGCTGAAACGCACTGGCAAGACAACACTTCTCAGCATTACCTTTAGGAATCTCTTTAAGCAACCACCAGAAACCTGTACCATGTGAGGGGGATGGCTGGAAGTGAGGGTGAGAATTCCTGTACCAGTACTTTATGGAGAACCATGTATATTAGTAACTCCTGTGCTGGAGACAGAGAGAATAGTTACCACTGCTGAAAACAAATATTTTCAGAATATTCCATATTTTTGTTTAAACTCTAGTAGACCTAGACTTGAAACCCATCTCCACCATTTGCTAGCTATGTGACCTTGGTAAAATTACCTATGATTTATAAGCCTTCATTTCTTCATCTATAAAATGCTAATCAATACCAAATAGGGCTGGTTACTATGAAAATTAAGTGAGACGGTGCATATAAAATATTTAACACTAGACATTTTAACTAACAAGAAGAAATGAAACCTGTTCTTGTCTCCCAGAGATATAGAATTAATAGATACATAATCATGCAAAAAATAGCAATCTCAGAATAGTAGGATAAAGTCTCTGTCATTTTTAAGATTTCATAATTAATAAATTTGGGAAATGATTAGTACCGGTCTTCCTTTTGGAGATTTACACTGCATATGAGACCATCAGAGACTCTGAAAATTCTTGAAGTAAACAACCTGATTAACTGCTTAGCCCAAAGTCTCTTAATATCATTTATACACAAACTATTAACATCTTGCATATTTAGTCTTCCTCAAAACACAGGGGAGACATCTGTTTCTGCCTAAGATAGACATTATGGATGAAATATGCTGCCCCAAAATTCATTAAGTTGAAACCCTAACAACACAGAGTGTTGATGGCATTAGGAAATGGGACCTATGGAAGGTAATTAGGTTTAGATGGGGTCATAGGATGAACTCCTCATGATGATATCACTGTCATTATAAGAAGAGGAAGAGACCAGAGCTCTCCAGCA